CATTTGCACTTGTTTTTGCAGTTATTTTAGAACTGTTTCGGGTGCTGATTTCCTTAATTCTTCTTTAAATGGGCACTGCCGGAACCGTCTATTCATGGTCTATTGCCCCCTTATTGGACTATACAAAACATCCGTCTGCTTTGTTCCATGTCACTTTGTTGCCAACAGTCATCAATCATAACCAATGAGATTCTTAGAGGGGTGACTCAAATGTTCATCAAGGTGATACGAAGGGGACGGCCTCTGACGATTCCTGTAGTTTAGTTCCAGCACCTGGGCGCCGCCAGGGTGGGCAGCCGTCTCCGCATGGCTGTTCGGCGGGTTTGCCTACCCAGGTGTTTGCAGGCGGCAAGCTGACTCCGCAACGGGCGGTAGGCGTGCTTGGTTTGTTCTGCCTCGGAAGTCATGAAGCTGGCTTTCAAGGCGGTGACATGACATGCTCTATCGCCTTACTCCCTGTTTTTCCCCCCTGCTGCCTTTTTTTGTCACCGATTGACTAGCCATGCGTCTAACGCCCTTGTAATTGCCTTGGGCCCCTTGGACACAAGACAGGCATGCGCTGTTCCGGTGTCGGTCATGCTCGGAGGCGCCGCTCCCTCTCGCCTGAGGTCTTGCCGGGTCACCTCGCGTCATGCCGGGGTCATGCAGGCCGGTCATGGTGCAGCTCATGCCAGAGCAGGCCTCCGGCGCCTCTGGCACTCACTGGAGGGTGTGTCGCCCATGGCTGGCAGCTCCCACGGCTGCCCCGCGTGGCGACGCGGCTCGGCGTCCAGGGGCTCGGGGGGCAGCTCCCGCCTCCGTCGTCGGGCACCTCCCGGGCCCGGGGCGGCGGGTGCGGCCGTCGGGAAGGCCGGCGCGCAGTCGTCGCCGCCGGCGTAGCGGCACTCGTACCAATGGTCCGTCTCGCGGCGCGCTCGCGTCTCGGGCGCCGCCTCCTCGTCGACGGGCTCGCCCTCCGCGTCGTCGTCCTCCTCCTCGCCCGCGGCCGTGGCGCCCTCGTGGGAGTCCCCGTACTGCAGCCAGCGACGGGTCGCCCCGGCCGCAGCGGGGGCGGCGGGGGCCGCCGTGACGGGGGGCGGCCGCCTGGCGGACTGGGCGTGCACGTCGTCATCGGGAGCCGCGGACGAGTCGTCGTCGCCGCCCTCCTCCGCCGCCGCGGACGACGAGTCCTCCGCCGACCCGGCCTCGAGGTGCCGGGGTAGGGAGGGCGTCTCCGGGGCGACCACTCCCGGGAGCACCTCCGGGTCGAGCAGGTCTGAAGCGAGCACTTTCGGGTCGAGCACCTTCGGGTCGAGCAGGTCCGAAGCGAGCACCTTCGACTCCCCCGAGCTGTTGCGCGTACGTCTCGCCCCTCCTGGACTCGACGAGGTGCTGCTCGGTGACAAGGGGCTACGTGACGTTGAGCTTAGCGATGAAGAGCTTGGCGTCGTGGGGCTCGGAGACGCAGAACTCGGCTCGGTTTTGCGTTCGGCCGAGGTCAAAATTGACGGTTCGTTAAAGTAAAAAGTCTCTGGAGGTGTCCGTGGCTCGGCCGCCTGAGTCCTCGTGGCGTTCAGGAGGTAGGACAGGAACATCTCCGTTCTCCTCGCCGTCTCCTCTAGGGCGTCGTCCTCGTCCTCGCCGCTGTCCTCCTCGTCGCTATCCTCGTCCTGCTCCTCGCTCGACTCGACCTCGGTCCTGCGCGCCTCCTGCGACATTGCCAGCAGGACCTCGATGAGCGCGGCCCAGCGCCGCGCCTGCGCGCGTCTGTCGAGCTGGTCGCCGTCGCCGTCCTGGGCCGTCGCGTTGAGGACCCCGTCAACGATCACGGACGTTTTGAGCTCCCTCTCGTCGGCAGCCACGTCGTGCAGGCCGGCGATGTGCGTGCCGTCCTCCTCCGTCTGGTTCAGCACCATGGCCGCGAAGTCCATCATCTTCCTCCTGTGCGTCGACGCGTCTTCGCTGTTTTCGTCGTGATCCTTATCCTGGCCAGCGTGAGGGGGCCTCTCCATCTGGCCCTGCGGCCCCGCCACCAGGACCGTCACTGAGGCCGGCGCGTCGTCCTCCGCGACGCTAGGGTACTGCACGTCCTCGGCGAGGTCCCCGTCCACCACCACGTCCTCGATCTGCTCCGCGACCTGGGCGAGCGTGTCGTCGTCCCCGCCCCGCCCCGGCTCCTTGGCGGCGGCCCCCAGGTAGGCCTCCTCCAGCTTGGCCAGCTCCGCCATGCCCATGACGACCGTGTCGCCCGCCGTCAGCGCGGGGTGCTCCTCGTCCGGGACGCCGGCCGCCTGGGGCACTGCCGAGGAGTACGACGGCGGCGTTGAGGACGCCGTCTTGAAGGGCACGTGGTAGATGTACACGTGCGGCACGTCGGGCCACAGGTCCTGGCCCGCCCCGGCCAGGACGTCGGAGCCGTCGGGCAGCTTCTCGTCGAACTCGGGGAGGACCTCGTTGCTGCTGCTGCTGAACCGCGGGCGCGCGGGTGGCGCCACGCCCGGCTTGTAGGTGTTGGCGTCCGTCGGCGAGCCTGCGTCGGGGTCCGAGACCAGCAGCAGGTCAGTCACGCCGGTGCGCGAGGGGCTCGGCGAGGGGGAAGGCCCCCGGCACTCGTCCTTTCACGGTCACCGTCCAGGTGACGGGGTGATCCCCTCGGCCCGGCCCCGCCCAGCCCCGCCCCGCCCCGCCACCGGCCTACCGCGTGTGGCTGACAGGTTCACGCAACAACGATATCCACATTCCTCCTCCCGGCCTGGTCCCCTCCCCTCTCCTCACGCTCCTCCCCCCCCCTCTCCTCTCCCGCGGCGCTGAGCACCGTTAGGCCTGACGTCACGTCACCGTTACCCTCACACACATGCGTTCCCTATGCGCGCACGGCGAGGGGGAGAGAAGGGAGCATCGCGAAAGGAGAAGGGGCAGCAGAGGGGGAGGGAATCCGAGAGTAATTTCTCCGTGCTTTTATCGAAAGTAAACTCTCTTTTGCGGTCTTTTTAGCCCCGAGGACGCCCCGTCAATGAGCGACACACGGGCGACATGTGAGCGCTCGCCGGGCTCGGGCCGGCTTGGGCCACCTGCTGCAGAGGACGTACTACACTGACAGACTGACGCGAATGTTCGCTGCAGTATTGAGCTGCTGGTTCAAGAGTGTAATACTTGATGAGGTACCTGTGAGGTTCCTGCGGTGCTCCTGCAGGGTTCCTGTGGGCTTACTGGAGATTGGACATGCAGGTGCGGGTAAGAGGGGGTAAGGAACTGACGAGAGGAAGGTACAGGTATGATGTGCTCAACTTTAACACCACCGGCAGCACACGATGCAAGTCGACTTACCAGAGAAGAAGGTGGAGGCCAGGGAGTCGTCCTGGCAAGAGCCCAACGCCACGAGGGCGGTCAGGACCAACGGCGTCCACGCCGTCCGCATGGTGGAGCGGTTAGGGGCCAGCGGCCCGCAGCCTGCGGGGCAAAGAGGAACACGATCAGATCAGGACCACGGCGAGCGGCTCCGGGGACGGTGGGTGGGCTGCTCAGCACACCACACATCAGGGGTAGGGACTTAAATTTTATAGGAAACATTTTTGGAAAATTTGTGAAGATTTTTTCTCAACATTTCAATTTTATTCTAAAAATTTTTTCTCATTTCTTCTGTAAATATTTTAATTTTTTCCGAATTTGTCTGGAAAATTTTGCAATTTTATCGGAAAAAATATCGGATTCGAAAATACCCACGCCCCTCGCCTTTTACACCCACATTCACCCCCTTGACGTTCACCTCCGGAAACACAAACGAACCCTCTAACTTCAAAAATATCTGAACCCAATAAATCATTAAAAAAACAACAACTTTGAAACTGGGTTTCAGTAGTGAGGTAACCGGTATATACAGTGTGTACAGTGTACACCATCGCCTTCTGCAGTATAGTAGCTGACGCCGTGGTCACAACCCGGTCAGAGTCGTGTGCGACTGCCGCATGGAAAGGGAAGGTGCGCTCTGAGCGCTGCTGCCTCTCCTGCCGCCGCGGTCCCGCGAGACTGATCCCCCCCCC